CTGGTGGGTTTGAACCACCAGCCTTCTGGTTAGCAGTCAAGTGTCTTAGCCACTATGCTACCAGAGCTCCTGTGTATGCTTGTGTGTGTGTGTGTACTTTTGCACTTGTGACTGTATTTGTAGGTAAATTCATAAAAATGGAATTGTTGGATCAGAGGGTATGTACATTGGGAAGTACTGCTAAATTGTCTTCCAAAAACAATTGTGCTGATTCACATTCTTGTATTCTTCCTCCCCTCCCCCACTTTCTCACCAGCACTGCCTTTCTAAGACTTCTGATCTTGGCAGTACTGATTCCATTGACAGGAGATGAGAAGAGAAGAAAGATGAAAACTGAAGCATCGTCTTCTATAATAATCACCAAAGGTTTAGAATGTCCATTTATCATAAAAAAAAAAAAAAAGGAATGAAAATTACCCAGGAGATACTTGGAGGCCTGGTTAATTCCAAAGGAAAGGAATGGTGCAAGGCATGTGAATTCAAGGTGTGTGCTGGTAAATGTTTAACAACAGGTTCTCTGGAGTAAAGTCCTGATTTGTGGTGTTTGCTGATTTCCACAGTGTGTATACTCCCACCACAGCCAATTTCAAACAACCAACAGGACCTCACCAAACACAGTTGGGAGGAGATAGATGTGCACAATCTGTTCTCTTGAACCAATAAGAGCTGGCTCCTGTACACTATGGATGGGCCATAAAAACTTTTGAGGAAGTGACTTTTAGGCTGAAATCTGAAAAACAAGGAGCCAGCCATGCAACAATCTGGGAGAAAGAGCATTCCAGGCTGAGGAAAAAGCTCCTGTGTGCAAGACCTGGCATATATGAGAGGGAAAAAAATGCAGTGAGGCTGAAGCTCTGAGACCTAAGGGGTGAGTGCTATGAGATGAAGCTCCAGTTGAAGCATATGTACAAACCAGCATAAAATACAATTTGAGGAGGTTAGCTAGAATACTGCATCACTGAGGATGAAAAGTCCAGGTCCAGGCAAAATAAGATTAAAAAGAAAAAGAACTGATGGATTTTTACCAGAACAATTGAAGCACAACTTAAAGGATGGGTGAGAGATAGTTTGGTCAGTGAGGAGATATGTTGTTGTTGTTAGGTGCCGTTGAGTCATCTCTGACTCATAGTGACCTTTTATGTACAACAGAATGAAACACTTCCTGGTCCTGTGCCAGCCTCACAGTCCCTGCTACACCTGAGCCCATCATAGCAGCCACTATGAAAATCTATCTCATTGAGGGTCTTCCCCTTTTTTGCTGACCCTCCACGTTACCAAGCATGATATCCTCCAAGGAATGGTCCCTTCTGAGAACATGTCTAAAGTAGGTGAGACAAAGTTTGGTCATTCTCGCTTCCAAGGAGCTTTCCGGCTGCACTTCTTCCAGGATAGATTTGTTAGTCCTTTTAGCAGTCCATGATACTCTCAGCATTCTTCACCAACACCACAACTCAAAAGCATCAACTCTTCTTCAGTCTTCCTTATTCATTGTCCAGCTCTGTCATGCATAAGAGGCAATTGAAAATACCATGGCTTGAGTTAGGCGCACCTTAGTCTTCAAGGAGACATTTTTGCTCTTCAGCACTTGAAAGAGGTATTTTGCAGCAGATTTGCCCAATGCAAACACACCATCTGATATCTTGACTACTGCTTCCATTGGTGTTGATTGTAGAACCAAGTAATATGAAGTATTTGACAACTTCAATCTTTTCTCCATTTATCGTGATGCTGCTTATTGGTGCAGTTGTGAGAATTTTTGTTTTCTTTATATTGAGGTGTAAGGAGATATAGGGAAGATTTAAGGCTTGTGATACAGCTTGAAGACATAATGGATGGGAGCAAATGGACAAAGGGGATTGAATAGTTGTGTTTAAGAAGGGACTAACAGGGACACAAGGTGACAAGGATAAAATAACTGACAAAAGATCCCTTGTCACAACCAGTACATTATACAAGAATGATCCTACTAGAGATCAGTCATGGGAGAAAGAAGGGCTGTGTATGCACAGGGAGACAGCTCAGGGGGCAGGAGTGCAGGGAGGGAAGGACACAAGGAAGAGGTAACTATGGGGAGGAACTGGGAAGGGTGCTGTTGCATTGTGGGAAATTGCAGTCAATGTCATGAGACAAAGTGTATGTAAACTGTTGTATGGAAAATGAATTTGTTCTGTAAACTTTCACCCAAATCACAATAAAAATTAAAAAAAAAAATCCTACTGACCCACACTATTGTTGTTGTTGTTGTGTGCCGTCAAGTTGGACCCAACTCATAGCATAGCGACCCCTTCTTGGATTTCTGAGGCGGTATCACTACAGGAGTAGACTGCCCAACCCGCCTTCCAAGGAGTGGCTGGTGGGTTTGAACCGCCAGCCTTCTGGTTAGCAGTCAAGTGTCTTTGTTGTTGTTATTTGCCGTGGAGTCGGCCCGACTCAAGTGTCTTAGGCACTAAGATACCAGAGCTCCTATACTACAAACAAAAAACCACTTGCCTTGAGTAGATTCATACTCTGTATTAAAATTAATTTAATTTCCACTGTTCCACCAGAGGGCAGGCTAACTCAACAAATAACTTCCTACTCGAGTGCATTCCAATTCTTTCAAAGGAAGTTGGAATTCATACAACACTATGAATGGAACACGAATAGCAGAATTCTAGGACTGGCGTTTGCTCAACCCCTGTCTTCCCTGGACGGCTCCTCCAAAAAGAAGCCCGTTTTTGTCAATTGTATTTTTGCCAATCCTTCCTTTGCCCTTTCAAAGATTGAAAGAATTAAATCCTTTCTTCATTTAATTCCTTCATTTCATTTAATTCCCCTAAAATTCTTCTTCCCCGGACTGTCTTGATTAAACTTCTACTTCCATTCACTTTATCCTACTCTGGCCTCAGAATGGAAGAGTTACGTGGAAAGAGGTGGTTAGCAAAAGGTTGCAGGAAATGGCGAGGGAGACTGACCAGCTCACGCAGGGAAGGGAAAGCCCGGAGAACAGGAGGCTGGGCTGGCTGGCCTCCAGGGCCGAAAGGGGTGGGCGGGCAGGGGGTGGGGCCCGGAGAGGGCCGCCCTTCTCTTTCCCGGAGCCTGAGCGGAGAGGGGAGGAAAATTTCTTCCTGGCTTGGGATCTGGGGCCCTTCAGTCCGCCAACTCTCCAATCCCGCCTGCCAGTGCCTGGTGCTTCCCCACCCCTCCCCCGCTCCCCCAAGTGTCCGCCATGGCCAAAGCCTACGACCACCTCTTCAAGTTGCTGCTGATCGGGGACTCAGGGGTGGGCAAGACTTGTCTGATCATTCGCTTTGCAGAGGACAACTTCAACAACACGTACATCTCCACCATCGGTGAGCCCACTGGCCATGCCCCAGACCCCCAACTCCCGTGCCCTCACCCTCAGGCTCCTGGCTTACTAGTGGCCCTAGAATGAAGTGCCTAAACTCCAGTCCCTCAATCCTGTCTCAAACCTGTCCCCCATACCATGTCTCTGGGATGGTACCCAAATCTCTAACCTCTCTGAGGCCTCCCAGTAACTTCACTTGCTGCCAGCCCTTCATTTTCTCGATACCATCAACTTAGTCTCCCCAAATCTGTTATGAACACTTTTCTGTTTCCCTGTCAGCTCTTCTTACCCCACCTAGAACTCCTCAAGCACTCTCCACATTCCTGTGTTCCCTTTTTGCCCCACATCTGTTTCCCAGTTCCACTACAGTCCCCTTTCTGTCCCACTGAGCTTCAAACTCTCTGATTGTATCCCCCGTCTTCCCATCCCCTTCCCGGTCATCCTACCCCTCAAGAGCAGCTTGGGGTGGGTGGAACAGGGAGGCTAGGTGTGCTGGAGGGTGTCCCTAGGTTGTGATCATGAATATGCAGTCAGTCTAGTGAGGAGGGTGGCAGGGGTCTCTGACTCAGCCTGGTGACTCAGCCTCTCCCTGGGGCCCCAACAGGCTTGGGGGAGGTGCCCAAGTTTCCACTAAGAAGAACATGGTCTTCCCTCCTCCCCTCTCATCATTCTTCATCTCCTCTGGCCTAGGAACTAAGACAGGAAGAGTCTGGTTAGAAAGGGGAAAGAGAAGCCCCCTTTCCTATTTCAGTCTTAGGGGGAATCCTGTTTAGCCCCAGGTATTTCTGGTTTCCAGCCTGTCCCCTAGCTGATTCACTAAGACCGGCATCAGCTACCTTTTTCCTCATTCTTTACCCCATAGGGCCAGGAGAGTGAGTAGAGTACAGACGGTAGAGAGGTTCTAAGAAAACAGAAGGGAAGAGGACTCTGAAAGTACTATTTTGGGGGAGACAGAAACTGACTTGAAAGGGTTGCCAGCTGGCTGAGTGGATCCCAGAAGCGGCTTAAGGGCTTTACACCTCCCTGTGGAATTTTCCTCAAAATCTCCCAAAAAAAATCTATAAAAATCTAAATAAAAACAACATGCTTGCTATACAAATACACCTTCAAGAAGTCTCCTAGTTCCACCCTTCAACAAGGTTACTCCCTAAGTGTCTCCCCTGCAGAATTTCTGGAACTGCCACTGCTCAATTCCTATCCCTCCCACCACATACTTTTACATGCACACACATAAATGTCCCAACTTAAGTGTACACCCTCCTCCACCCCCAGGAATTGACTTCAAGATCCGCACTGTGGACATAGAGGGAAAGAAGATCAAACTGCAAGTCTGGTGAGTGAATCCCCCAGGACTCCTAATCAGACTTCCCCCTTAACTTCCTATAACCCTTTTCCTTCTATTTTGCTTAACTACTTTTCCTTTTCCCCAATGGCTCCTTCCAGCACATCTCCTTATCCATTTGTATTGCTCACCTATACCAGTGTCCTTCCAGTTCTCTTCCTGCTCTCCCAGTGATTTTCAACTTTTTGTCACTCTTGCCTCCTCCCACTCCAGAGCATTCTCTGAATGTGATAACAGATGTCTTTTGAGCTGTAATGTGGAAATGGGCTCTGAGCAGTTAAGTGGCAAGTAGTAGTAGGATTAAGACTTTCCTCCAAGACCAATGCTCTCTCGCAGTCAATGTCATGAAACAAAATGTGTATGAACTGCTGTACGGAAAATGAATTTGTTCTGTAAACTTTCACCCAAATCACAATAAAAATTTAAAAAAACAATTCTCTCTCTAAATTGTGGAGTGCCCAGAAAACCAAGTATAGAAATTTGGCCTGACCATCATAAGGAAGCCAGGACTGTGTGGCATTGTTGGTATAGTGGTGAGCATAGCTGCCTTCCAAGCAGTTGTCCTGGGTTCGATTCCCAGCCAATGCAGTGAGCTGACCTTTTGGGACCTCTGGTGGCATAGTGCCTAAGACATTTAACTATTAACCAGAAGGCTAGCAGTTCAAACCCAACAGCCACTCCTTGAAAGGAAGACTGGACAATCTACTTCCATAGAGATACTGCCTCGGAATCTCAAGGAAGGGTCGCTATGAATAAAATCAACTTGACGGCAGTGAGTTCGGTTTTGTTTTATCATAAGGAAGCTGGAGACCTTGAAGGTGTTTAAGAGGCTTAATGGAGGCATTAAAACCAAAAAAAATCTCACTGCAGTTGAGTCAGATCCAACTCATAGCAACCCCTGCTTGGGTCTCCAAAGTGGTATCACTATAGAAGTAGATTGACCAACCTTCCTTCAGAACTGGATGAAGAGCATCAAAGAGGTGGGTTTGAACTGCCAGCCTTCTGGTTAGCAGTCAAGCGCCCTAGGCACTACACCAGCAGAGCTCCTAAATAGAGGCATTATGATATGATAAATACTTAGCTGCCCTATGGCCTTCATTAGTTATTCACTCTCTCCAAATCTATTTCTGTATTTGTAAAATGAAAACAATAAAACATGTCTCACAAGGTTAGAGTGATGATTAAATAAAATGATACATACACAGTGCTTGGCATAGAGTAAGCACTCAGTGAATAAACAAAAGAGATCTTGTTTCTTTGGCCTCTAACATGTCTCAACATCAGCCAAATGGTCTTTCATGCCATTCTCCTTTTTACTGTTTCCCTGTTCTATTCCTTTCAGTCCCATCCTTTTGCAAAAGCTAAATTCTTAGGGGAAATTCTCTCCTTGGAGAGCCCTTCTCTCTATCCTAACCCTTGAAACCATCCACCGTTTCAGGGACACGGCTGGCCAAGAGCGATTCAAGACAATAACTACTGCCTATTACCGTGGAGCTATGGTACAGAGTGTGGGTCTGGATAAGGGATGAGGGGATGGGGTATCAGAGTGTAAGTTTGAATACAGAGGTACAGGGAAAAATGGGCACAGTATGGGTTGCAGAGGCCCCCACGTGATCTGGTGTTTAGACCCATGGATGGGACTTGCAGGGCACTTAGCAGTGGAAGGAAGGGCAGTGAGAAGCCTAAACAGCACAATATGGTCCAAGACTTCATGGTGAACTTCATCATCTCCCAGGGCATTATCCTAGTGTATGACATCACAGATGAGAAATCCTTTGAGAATATTCAGAACTGGATGAAGAGCATTAAAGAGGTGAGAAACCATCTACAAAGATGGGGGCTTTGGGAAGAACCTGGAGGAGGAGGTGGGGGTGGTGTAAGGATGAGCAGAACCCAGCTTTTGCTCATTTTACCCTTTTGCCTCCAGAATGCCTCGGCTGGGGTGGAGCGTCTCTTGCTGGGAAACAAGTGTGACATGGAGGCCAAGAGGAAGGTGCAAAAGGAGCAAGCCGATAAGGTGGGAGCCATGCAGGCCATGTTCTAGAACTGGGCTAAGCAGGCCCGGATGAGGTCAGAGTGCAGAGGCCTTGGCAGCTGCCTTTTATCTAATGCTCTTTTCCCCACCTCACCCTCACATTCCCACAGTTGGCTCGGGAGCATGGAATCAGATTTTTTGAGACAAGTGCCAAATCCAGTATGAATGTGAATGAGGTGAGAACCCCCCCAACACTGATAAAATAATGTAAAAATAGATTTCTCCTCCCCTTCAGTCTATGCTGACCAGGCACTCCTTTCACCCCTTCAGGCCTTCAATTCCCTGGCCCGGGACATCTTGCTCAAATCTGCCGGCCGGAGATCGGTGAGTTGGTTCTGCTGTGCCAAGTACAACTGTGTGTGTGTGTCTGTGGATGGGGGCGGGGAGAATGAAAATTGAGATGGGGAGCAATGATGAGCCTTCCCATGCGGGTAGATCCCCTTCAAACAACCTATAGCCTCATACCTCAGCTAACCATTTACACCTTGCCTGGTGTGTCCTTCTCCCTCCAGGGAAACAGCAACAAGCCCGCCAGCACTGAACTGAAAACATGTGACAGGAAGAACACCAACAAGTGCTCCCTGGGCTGAGGCCCCTTGCATGTCTCCCCACCCTGAGCCTCAAGGCTGAACCTGAGGGAGGCAGGGCCAGGGGCTGGGTGGGCAAGAAGGGCTGATGGGGCTTGGAGGAGTAAATTGGTAGATGGTAGGGAAGATGAGAAGAAAATGGAGAAGAAAAAAGGAAGGGGAGAGAAGAAAAGAAAGAACAGAGGTAGACTAGAGAGGGAAGGAGAAGCAGGGAGAAGGGAGGGGGAGAATGAGAAAGTGAAAGAAGGTGAGGAGGAGGTAGGACAAGAGAGAGGAGGCACTGTTCAATGGCCCCAGACCACCCTGGGTTTCCAGGGAAACCTAAATGTAAATATATTGATTTATTCTGTTACTGGATCAGGTTTTAGAGTCGTATGAGTGGCTGGCTCAGCACCACCTTCTGAAGGTTTGGGCCTATCCTGTCACTCTGCACGGTCTTTCTCTATTAAAGGCCACTGTTTGCACAAATGTCCCTGGTTTGGCTAACTTTCATTATTGTCCCAGTCATTCCCCTCTTGTATCTCCACTTCCTTCCTGCCTCTCCGAAGTGGTTGGTGTGCTTAAATCTGGCTGGGTTCACATGGCACTGGGTCTCGTCCCATAATTGTCCCTTCCCCAGCTGTTAATTGATCAAGAAAACAGAAAAGAACAGGAGGTAGAGGGACCTGAAAGTCTGGACATCCTCTTTCCACTACGGGGTCCAAGGGGCCCTGTGGGCAGAGCCTTGTCCTGAGCCCAGAAGATTAGAAGGGAGGGGAGTGAAATCTTCCGTGGGCCTCCCAGGGCAGTAACAGCCCTAACCTCAAGGAAATAACAACGCGAGTATTGTTTAAAGGAGCTCTGGTGGCGTAGTGCCTAAGGCATTTGACTGCTAACCAGAAGGTTGGTGGTTCAAATCCACCAGCCACTCCACCAAAGGAAGACTTGTTGTTGTTGTTGTTATGTGCCGTCAAGTCGGACCGACTCATAGTGACCCCTCCTTGGGTTTCCAAGGCAGTATCTGTTCGGAAGTAGATTGCCCCATCTTCCTTCTGAGGAGTGGCTGGTGGGTTTGAACCACCAGCCTTCTGGTTAGCAGTCAAGTGCCTTAGGCACTGCGCTACCAGAGCTCCTAAAGGAAGACTAGGCAATCTATTTCCATAAAGATTTACTGCCTCGGAAACTCAGTGGAGGTCGCTATGAGTCAGAATCAACTCAGTGGCAATTAGTTTGGTTTTGGTTTGAGTATTGTTTGAGGAGCTCTGGTGGTGCAGTGTAGGCATTTGACTGCTAACCTGAAAGTTCGAACCCACCAGCCAGTCCGCAGAAGGCAGATGGGGCAGTCTGCTTCCGTAAAGATTTACCACCTTGGAAACCCAATGGGGGTCGCTATGAGTTGGAATCAACTCAATGGCAGTGGGTTTGGTTTTTTAGTTTTCTTTACTGAGATTCCTGCAGACTGCTTTGGTTTTGCCAGCAATCTCTTTAGGTAACTGCTAGGCACTATTATCTGCTTTTATTGATGATAAAAATGAGATACAGGAGAGGTTCACTTGTTCATTAAAAATTTATTGAGCACCTACTCTCTGCCAGTTACAGTAGTAAGTTAACATAACCCTTGGATTGTCCTCGTAAGCAGAGGAATGAGCAAATTTATCAAAAACAGCTCCTAACTACTGAGTAACAAAGATGGCAAAACTCGTGCCAAAAGGACATGGAGGCAGCATCCTCTGACCTCTTCCAACCTCAGAAGGGGGAAATGGAGTCACCATCAACAGTCTAAGGCTTATTCCTATGACGTCAGACGTGCTGCCACCCTCCAGCCTTTTTACCAATTCTGACACCAACCGTCCCTCCTACAGCACTCACTACTTCTCTGCCGGGTTCAAGAATTCGTTGCAATGGCCACACAGAACTCATACACAATACTCATGATTATAAGGTTTATTAGGGAAGTAAAAGGCTATTCAGGTTCAGGAACAAATGTTCTCTGGATCCAATTATCCGATCAGGACAGTCTCCCTTCTGCTATATCCTCAGGCATGCCTCTCTGGCCCTAGGCCTCTCTGCTTGGCCTCTGCCTTGCTCATGCAAGTGTTACAAAGCTCTTTCAGCTCTGCAGATAGGTACACCTTTGTGCACTCCACTCTGCCAGCAAGCCTCCTGCCCAAAGGCACTCAGCTTTCCCTCTCTGTGGGCCAGCCAGCCCTCCTGCTTCTTGGTTCCATGGGGCTGTCTCTGCTGGGTGTCTCTGCCATGGAAGTCCAGCGCAGGGATCTTGGGTCCAGGGATGTGCTCTGCTCTGTTCCATCTTCAACTGTTCTCTCTTGATGGCAGTGAGATCCCCACTTCTGCCTCTAGGAGGGCTTATTTGAAACCTAGCAGAATGACAAAACTAACCAATCCCAACATTAGAGTTCCAGGTACCATATTTTCATGGTCCCACCCAGTAATCTAGCAGCTCTGGTGGTATAGTGCCTAAGGCATTTGACTGCTAATCAGAAGGCTGGCAGTTCAAACCCACCGTCACTCATCGGAAGAAAGATGGGGCAATCTACTTCCATAGTGATACTGCTTTGGAAATGCAAGGAGGGGTCGCTATGAGTCGAAATCGACTCAACGGCAGTGAGTTAGTTTAGTGCCCAGTAATCTGGTGGGAATCACAAATACCATGGCTAGAAAAGTCATGAGAAATAATTCACTGTGTCACCATTGGCATACAAAAAATAAATCACCCAAAAAACTCAGACTTGATACATAAGCTCCTTAAGTACACAGAGGCCTTTTTCACCTCTATATAGTGTTTCTTGTATTGTGTTAAGTATATATGTAACAAATCGTTTGCTTTATCAACCTTGCTCACATGTACAATTCAGTGACATTAAGCGTACCATGTTGTTTAACCATCACCATTATCCGTTCCAAATATTCCCGTCACCTTTAATAGAAACTCAGTGTACCCTAAGCAGTGAGTCTCCCTTTTCCCCTCCTTCCCCCCTGCCCCCAGTAACTATAAAGTATGTTTTAAACAGTAAGATTATCTCATGGACTTATTTTTTATCAGGATCATTTTACCCTTTTGCCCCCATGATGCTTCAGATCACTGAAAATATCAGATTTAGTTTAGACAAAATGCACCACTCAAAAAAAAAAAATTTTTTTTTTTGCCTTTGAGTTGATTTCAACTGACAGAGACCCTCTAGGACAAAGTAGAACTGCCTCACAGAGTTTAAAAAACTGCAATCCTTACAGAAGCAGACTGTCACATCTTTCTCCTGTGGAGTGGTTCATGGGTTTGAACTACCAACTTTTTGGTTAGCAGCCAAGCGCTTAACTACTGCACCACCAGGGCTCCTAAAATGTACTATGAGAAGTTTTATTCGTAGATACAATGTTCAAGGCATTTAAGAAATCTCCAGCCATGTAGTGTGAAGTGGATGGCACAACCCTGAAATTAGCAGCAAAACTTTTCATGTGCTGCTGTTTCTGTTGGTAAAAGACAACACTCAGAAAAAAAAGCCAGTGCTGGGAGAAAGACTTGCAAATATTTTGATAATGTATTAAATGTCTAACTGGTTTAAGTTGCTTAAGAGATGGTAAAACACTTGCATTTTGTGATCTCAGGAAGCACATTAACTCGTATATTTTACCCCAGAGCAGCTACTTTAAACTCTAGTTTCAGAACAGTGAGCAATGCTTAGGCTATTGGAAGTGAGATCTTAACAAAATCTCATGCTTGTCATGAGGCAATATAGAATTTGGTGAGAAGTAACAATACTGGGGGAGCTCTGGTAGCATAGTGCCTAAGGCACTTGACTGCTAACCAGAAGGCTGATGGTTCAAACCCACCAGCCACTCCTCGGAAGGAAGATGGGGCAATCTACTTCCGTAGTGATACAGCCTCAGAAACCCAAGGAGGGGTTGCTAGGAGTTGGATCCAACTCCATAGCAGTGAGTTTGGTTATGTATTATTATTATTATTTTTAACAATACTGGCATTTCTGGGTGGTACAAATGGCTAAGTGCTCAATTACTAACTGAAAGGTTAGCAGTTCCAGCGCACCTGGGTGTGTCTGAAGACAGGTCTGGCCCATCTGTTTCCAAAAGGTCACAGCCTTGAAAACTCTATGAAGCAGTTGTACTCTGTATACATGGGGTTGCTGTGAGTTGGAATTAGCTCAATGGCAACTGGTGTTGATCTAGCAGATTTCAGGAAAAACCTTTCTTACAGCTATAAACTACTGGAAATAACCCACAACCTACTTTCTGTGATATAAAAGTACTGACTTACACAGACAAACAATAAAAATGTAAAAGAACAAGTAAATTGTTAAAAAAAAAAAAATCAAAACTCATGCAGTGAATGTCATGAAACAAAATGTGCATGGACTACTGTATGGAAAATAAATTTGCTCTGTAAACTTTCACCCAAATCACAATAAAAATTAAAACTCATCTCTCACCAGGTTTGATTTTTCTTTCCCCCCAACCCGCACTTAATGGTCTTGCCACAGTCTGATAAATCCTGCTCTTAAGAAGTGACCTTTAGTCTAATGGGAAGACAGAATTTATAGGACATACCACCAGATGTGTCATTTTAAATCACTTTAAATCCCAAATTAAATGTTCTAGCCCCTAAGGCTACAGGGGAGAAGGGTGGCTGTGGTCTTCAGACTAAAAAGACTTCTTAGCCAGAAAACCAGTTGCTGTCGAGTTGAGTCAGACTCATGGTGACCTCGTGTGTGTCAGAATAAAACTATGCTCCGTAGAGTTCTTCAGCTTTAGTTCTTGGAAGTAGATATCCAGGCCTTTCTTCCAAGGCACCTCTGGATTGACAATAACGTCCAACCTTTTGGTTAGCAGCCAAGCATGTTAACTGTTTATACAACTCTTGGGAGAGGAGAATGTGGAGCAGGATTAAGAAGAAGAAAAAAGTATCAGGATTTAGGAAACTAATTTGCTTTGGAAACTTTTTCACCAAACCACAATAAAAGGCACCCCCCTCCAAAAAAAAAAAAAAAAAAACCTCTACTTGAAAAA